CCCTGGTACTCCCAAAAAACAACCGGATGACCCTGGTACTCCCAAAAAACAACCGGATGACCCTGGTACTCCCAAAAGTTCTGAACCAACTCCCGAGGAGGTTAATAATGCCAAAAGCAAGTTAAAGCAAGCCCGCGAAAGTAATAACAAGGATGAAATAGTAAATATCCTTAACGAGACTGAGGCCATAACCCAAAAAAGTTCAGACCAAAGTTTAAAACAAGCAAAAGCAGAAACTGAAAATAAATTAGGTCAACTAGATAAAGAAGAGTTGAGAAAAATTATCAAAGAAGAAGTAACTAAGGAATTACAAAAGTTTAAAGTAAAAACTGATGATTTAAGTCCACAAAGTAAGCAAAAACTCGAAGAATTAAATAATAATAATAATAATAATAATATCAATCCGGAGGAGGCTAAAAACCTAAGAAAGGAAATTTTAAATGAGGCAGGAATCAAAGCCCTAGAAAAATTAATTTCTGAACTCAAACGAGCCCTTGAAAAAAAAGATAAAAAAGAAATAGGAACTAAAGTTAAAAACTTGCGAAACTTTATTGATGATCGTTCCGATGAATATGCTCAAAATGCTTATCAACTTCAAAAAGAGGAGGCACAGAAATGGTTAGAAAAAGCCGAAAAAGACCAAACACAATCTAGTCAAAACCAGGAAAATGGAGGATTTTTTCGCCCAAATAACCCACTAATGTGAATTTCCGGAGTAGCCATAATTGGGCTAGTGGGTGGGATAACTTTGCTAAGTGTTCGTGCTCGTCGAAAACGTGCTAAACATTAAATAACCTAAAATTGGCTACTAGTCAATTAATTCCTATAAAATAATAATATATATGCCGGTCGCCAGTCAGAAGCAAGTGGTTGTCAAATCTATTCAAAGTGATTTCCAACAATCTAAAGCGGTTATTTTTTACAATTTTCACCAAGTTGAGAACCAAGACCTCTTCAAATTGAGAAAAGAATTGAAAAAAGTCGGTGTCCGGTGAAAAGTCTATAAAAATAAGTTAGTGGAAAAGGCTCTTCCTGATTATCCTTTAAAGTTAAGGCAAGCCAATGCCTTTATCTTTTGTCAGGATGATGAATACCAACCATTAAGTATTCTTAACCAATTTAATAAAGAACATTCGAGTATTAAACGATTTCAAGGTGGCATTTATGAGCAAAAGGTAGTAACTGATACTTTGTTAGAAAAATGAGCCAAATTGCCCAGCAAAGAAATTTTAATAAGTACTTTATGCTATTATCTCAATTTTCATACCCGAAGACTGGTTAATATTTTAGAAAAAATTAAATCAGCCCCCGCAGGAAATCAATAAATTAAATATGTCAACAGAATCAGAAAAAAGTATATCAGAATCAGAAATAAAATTTAGTAAAGAAGTAAGCGAAGTTGGAGAAAAAATTGAAAAGTGAAATTTAGGAAAAATCAGCGAACTAATTGAGTGAATAAAACAAAAGTTTAATATTCAAGAAACGGCTGTCGTTCAAGCCACAGCCACTGCTCAGGAAGGTGAAAAAGCTGAAGAAAAAAGTAGTAATGTTTCAGTAAAACTAGTAGAAATGAAAGATGCTGGATTAAGTCCAATCAAAGTTTACGGATTAATTAAAGAGGCCGTTAAAGAATTAAAGGACGAAGATATTAATATTATTCAAGCCAAAAAAATTACGGAAAAGGAAGACAAAATTATCTTAGAAAATATTCCGCGAGATAAAGCCGAAGAATTTCAAAAAAAAGTAGAAAAAGGAGCCAAAGTTGAAATTAAATAATTTTAATATAATAATTAATGTCATATTGAATAACTAATTCAGGAAAAAATTCGCGTCGTGAATATGTGGGCGTTAACCGTTCGCCCCTCTTTCGAGACTTGCCCGAACACGATTACACTCGAGAACAAAAATTATCTTACTCTAAATTTCTCTACGAAAGACTACCGCAGTTATTATCTTTTTACTTTCCGGCTGAATTTAGCGATTATAACAATAATGTCATAATAAATATTAAAGATGTAGAGTGTCGAGAACCAGAAACCGTGGTTGAAGACGCAAAAGGAAAAAAAAAAATTAAACCCCAAAGCGAAGAAGAGGCTCGCGTTAATTCCCTAACTTGAAACCACATAATTTCTTTTAACTGGGAAGTTATTTGAGACTTCCACATTAGGAAAAGTTATTCAACTGATAACGATTTAGAAAAAAATATTGACCAATGAGTAAAAGATAGTTTCAAAATTGGTAAGTTTACTCAGGAAAGAAGCAATTTATCCTCCTCCGAATTAAAGACTTTATTAACTAAAACCAAAAAGCAACTAAAAGAATTACCCGAACAAGTCTTAAAGGAAAAAACTGGTTTGGTAGAAAAATTAAAAAGTAAAATCCAATCCCTCGAACAAGGTGAATATCAAGAATGGTTGATAAAAGAAACTAAGGGAGAACTAAAAATAATCCTCGAAATCTTAAAACAAGAAGAAAATAGTTTGACCATTAGTTTTCATTACGAACAAAATCAGAAAGCTGATTTTTGTCACTTACCAAAAATGACCTCCCGAGGAGATTTCATTATTAATGGTCATAATAAAGTAGTAGTTTTTCAATCAGTGCGAGCTCCAGCAGTTTATTATTACTTTGGAGAAGAAGAAAACAAATTCTTGGGAGAAATTATCCCTTTTAAGGGACCTTGAATTAGCATTACTTATAGTGCTAAAAAACCGCTGGCCATTGAACTTAAATTCCTTAATTCAGGACTAGTTTTTGACTTTCTAAATATCCTAAAAACTTTTGAAGTTCCTTTGGAACTTTTGAAAACTTTGTTTGATGGAGAAAGTTTAAACCTCGATGATTACCAAGAAACTAATGCACTAGAAATTGGAACTGGAACAACCAGTTTGCCACGATTTTTATTTACTAGCAATAAAGGTAATCCTTACTTTAACTTAGGAAAGTTAGGTCGAAAAAAATATAACCAAAAAACCGACCTAATTCAACAACTAAAAGGAAAAACTTTAGCCGAAGACTTGCACGATAACCAAGGCAAAATAATTTTGAAAAAAAATACCGTTTTAACGGAAATAAATCTGCAAAAATTACAGAATGCACTCCAAAAGAAAAAAATCAGGAGCATTGAAATTCCTTACTCCACTAATGACTTATACCTAGTTAAAATAAATTCTCCAACCAATCAAGAAAAGATTGTTTCAGTGATTGGAACTGGGGAAAAATTATCTGAAGAAAAAACTTATTTTGACTTGGCAGACTTAATTTGTGCGGTAGCAGGTTATATCAATCTTCATCATGGTTCAGGTAATACTGAAAAAAGGGAAGATGAAGATAAATTAGAAAACCAAATTATTCGGCGAGTTGGCGACTTAGTTCACAACATTTTTGACAATAAATTAGGCAGTTTCTTGCAAGATATTGATAACAAATATCTAACTAATTACCTTTCTCAATTAAAAAAAGTTGACTTCTTAAAAATACCTAATTTACAAGACTTTAGTAGACTTATCACTCGTTTTTTTAATTCCTCCGCTTTGGTTCGCTTACAAAATCAAAATAATCCCTTAGCAGTTATTTCAGATGGAATGGTCTCAAGTGTGATGGGACTAGGAGGACGTAATTCGGTTAATGCTACTTTGGCCGCTCGGAATGTCGATTCCTCGTTTGGTGGTCGTTATGACCCAGTAGAAACTCCCGAAGGCCGAAATACTGGTTTGGTTCGTCGAATAACAATTGGAGCCGGAATAAATGATGATGGACAAATAACCACTCCCTATTTTCCAGTTCAGAATGGGTTAATTCTGCCCTCCTTAGTTTACTTAACCAGCGAAGAAGAAAAAGATAAATACATTACTCACTTTAATATAAAAGTTGATGATAAAAACCAGATTGTGGAAGAAACAGTATTGGCGATGCATCAGGAGAATTTTGTCCGAGTACCTAAAGAGAAATTAGATTTTATTTATAGTTCTTTTTATCACTTAAACTCAGTAACTAGTGCGACCATTCCCTTTTTTCACCATAATGATGCTACCCGCATGCTAATGGCCACCAATATGCAACGGCAAGCCGTAACCCTCTTAAAAAATCAGGAACCATTAGTTTCCAGTGGAATTGAAGCCGGACTTCTAAATAATTCTCCGCTCGCAGTCAAGGCTGAAGAAAGAGGAGTAGTAGAATATGTTGATAGTTCCCAGATTATCGTTAAAGAAAAGAATAAGGGGGGGAAAACTTACCAATTAGAGCAATTAGTAGTTTCCAACAAAAATATTCTTAATTTTTCTTTCCCATTGGTCAAAAAAGGTGATAAAATTGAAAAAGGACAAATGTTAGCCTACGGAAATTACGCTAACCATGGAGAATTATCGTTGGGCTATAATTTAAGGGTTGGTTTTTTTTGTTTTGATGGTTATAACTATGAAGATGGATTTGCTATCAGTGAAAGATTAGTTAAAGAGGACATTCTTACTTCCTTTTTTGTCAAAAAGCACACGGTTATCCGTCACGATACCAAACATGGTCCTGAAATATTCACCGCTTCCTTTCCCCGTAACGAAAAAAAACAATTTCCGCACTTGGATAAAAATGGGATTGTCAAAATTGGAAGTCGAGTCAAAGGTAATGATATTTTGGTTGGTAAATTAACCCCTGAACCTAGTCTCCACAAAGAAACTGAAGTAGAATTACTACTAAGGGATATTTTGAAAGAAAAAGCCCAACGATTTGTTAATTCTTCGCTCCGATTGCCAGCCGAGGAGGAAGGAATAGTTTACCAAATTAAAAGAAAAAAACTCACTAAAAATAAAAAAAAGTTAGAATCAGTAGAAGTTTATGTGGCTCAGAAAAGAAAAATAGAAATTGGAGATAAATTAACTACCCGGTTTGGTAATAAGGGAGTAGTTGCTAAAATTGTACCCGAAGCCGACATGCCTTTTGATGAAGAAGGGAAACCACTGGATATAATTTTTAATCCGCTTAGTGTTCCTACCCGAATGAATATAGGTCAATTATTAGAAACTGTATTAGCTTCGGCTGCCCACCAACTCAATATTAAACTGCTCTGTCGACCTTTCAATTCTCCTTCTCCGGAAGCAATCAAAGCAATTATTCAAGAAGCTGGAATCAAAAATTATGGAGCTCAGAAATTATTCGATGGCCGAACTGGCTTGCCTTTTTCCCATGACATTTACACTGGATATGTATATGTAATTAAACTTAATCACATGGTAGCAGATAAATTCCATGCTCGAAATACCGGTCCCTACTCACTTATTTATCAACAACCAGTCAAAGGACGTTCCCAAGGTGGTGGACAAAGGTTCGGAGAAATGGAAATTTGAGGACTATGAGCTCATGGAGCAGCCTTTAACGTTAACGAAATAACGGGATCCAAGTCAGATGATATTTCTAAACGAAATGCGTTGCAAAATGCTCTATTATTTGCCGACCGCCAAATTGACTTCCGCAGCAACCACAGTGAATCTTTTAACCTTTTACTTCAACATCTACGTGGTATCGGATTTAACCTCCAAGCCTTTGATTATCAAGGTCACGAAATAGACTTTTACGAAGAATTTAGCCGAAAATCCTCTAAAAAATAACCAAACATGTCTCTAATAAAATCATTAAAAATCAGTTGGCTTTCGCCTGAAAAAATTAATAAAATCTCGTTCGGTAAAATTACTAGTCACAAAGTAATCAATATTCGCACTCTCAAACCAGAGCCGGGGGGTCTTTTTGATCCCCGAATATTCGGCCCCTTCCTTAACTACGAATGTTTTTGTGGCAAATATAAAGGTAAAGAAAATAAAGGACAAAAATGTGAACGTTGTGAAGTTTTAATCGCCGAAAAGAATCTGCAACGATGACGAATGGGACACATTTCTTTGCCAGTGCCGGTAGTTAATATTGCTCTCTTCAAGGTTTTAGCCACTAATTTAAGTAAATTATTGGGCATTCCCACTAAAAAATTAGAAGATGTTATTTATCTCCGAACCTACGTAGTGGTTGACAATGGTTTAACTAACTTATTGGAAAAAAAAAGTATTTTGGAAAAGAAGTTGGATTTGCATTTGATTAACGACATTTTACAAGAAATCATTCAAGATGAAAAAACAAGCAAAGAAGTCATTGCCCAAGCCAAAGAATTAAGCCAGAATCTAGATGGAAAAAAGGAAAAAAATGAAGAGTATTACAAAATCTTAGAAGTAAAAAAAGGTGCTACCCAAGAAGAAATTAAAAAAGCCTACCGCCAATTAGACTTAAAATGAAATCCAAGCAAACTTAAACCAGGAAAAACTCCTGCTGGAACTGAAAAGGAAGTCCTAGAAATGACTCAAAAAATTAGTGAGGCTTATAAGATTTTAAGTGACAAGAAAAGAAAGGAAAATTCTAATGATTCTGAAGCAAACAAAATCTTTTTAGAAGATTATTTAGATTTTTTAGAAAAGCATCGTGGCATAAAAATTTGGACTGGGGCAGAGGCACTTCGAGAATTATTAATGGGAATTAATATCAAGGAAGAATTAGCCAAAGTTAAGGAAGCGGTCAAGGAAGTACCCCAAAAGACTAACCAAGAAAAGTTAAAATTCCTACATGGTTTACAAAAATCTGGCTTAAAACTAGAATGAATGATTATGAATGATTTGTTAGTCATCCCTTGTGGAACGCGCCCGGTAACCAAATTAAAAGAAGAAGATGTTATTGCTACTAATCAACATAACAACTCCTTATACCGCATAATTTTGCGCTGTGATAGAATAAAATATTACCTTGATTTAAACAAACACTCTGGAATTATCTTTCAGGATATTATTCATAATGAAAAAAGGGGGTTGCAAAAAGCTATCGACCAAGTAATCTGAGGTTCAAATTATAAAAAAAATGAAATCAAGAGTTTACTGCAAAGTTTAAGTGGTAAGGAAGGAATCCTCCGTCGTTATTCTTTAGGAAAAAGGGTTGACTACTCGGCTCGTTCGGTAATTGTTCCTAACCCCAATCTACTTATAGATCAGATTGGATTACCAGTTAAAATGGCCTTAACCCTCTATAAACCTTTTATTATCCAAAAAATATTAAAAGAAAAAGTGGTTTTCACCGTTAAAGAGGCGGAACAACTATTTTATCAAAAAGACCCCGTTGTTTTCCCAATACTTAACGAAATTATTAAAGGACATCCAGTTTTAGCGAACCGTGCTCCTAGTTTACACCGCCTGAGCATTCAAGGATTTTATCCACAATTGACCTTAGGTAATTCGATCGAACTTCATCCTTTAATAACTACCGCTATGAATGCCGACTTTGATGGAGACCAAATCGCTATTCATTTGCCAATGACTACTAAAACTTGTGAGGAAGTTAAAGAACTCATTCTTTCTACCCACCACATTATTGACCCTAAAAATGGTCATTTGATAACTATTCCTAGTCAAGACATGATTTTAGGTATTTATTATTTAACTAGAGAGGTTAAAAATAAAAAAGTAATTTTTTACAACGAAATAGGAAATATTTGGAAGAGCCACGAAAAAGGTAAAATAGGACTCCATGATTTAGTGGCCATTCCCGCCACCTTGGTGGATCGGAACTTTTCCACTTCTCAAAACCAATTTCTCTTTACTACGCTAGGGAAAATAGTTTTTAATCAAATTTTACCCGCTAGTTTCCCTTACCATATCAATGACTTAAAAAAATACAACACCGAAAGTAGTCAAAATGATGATTTGTTCAAGATAGACCAAATTGCTAAAAAGTGAACCGATTACCAACCACTAGCAGGATGAAAAAAAAAAGATATCATTACTTTTCTAAATAAATTAGTGAAAATAGTACCACGACCGGAAATGTTGAAATTTCTCGATCAACTAAAAAAAGTTAGTTTTGACTATGCCACCTCCTCTGGAATTAGTATTCCACCTTTTGAATTAGAAGGAATTATCTCTAACAAAGAAAAAATTCTAACCGAGGCTTACCAAAAAGAAAACCAAATCACCAAACACTTTTCCCAAGGTTTTTATAGTGAAGAAGAAAGAAAACAGAAAAAAATTGCGGTCTGAGAAGAATGTAAAGAGAAATTGAAAGAGCAATTAATCACCCAATTAACTAAAAAGGATGAGACTTCTTTTTATAATATCTGAGATTCTGGAGCTCGGGCTAGTGATGAAAGTTTGACCCAAATCTTCGGGATGCGTGGTAATACCACCAACTATTTAGGAGAAGTTATCGAGACACCAATCACTTCCTCCCTATGAGAAGGATTAACCCCTTTTGAATTCTTTATCTCAGTTTATGGAGCGGTGAAGGGAATGATTGATATTGCCTTGAAAACTGCCGAAGCTGGTTATCTAACTCGGCGTTTAGTGGAATCCACCCAAAACTTGGCGATAATTTCCCCCGATTGTGGAATAAACACTGGTATGCTTTTTGTGGAAAGTGGTTTACCACTTAGCAAAAGAGTTTACGGTCGTTACTTAGCCCAAGATATATCCGATAAGGAAGAAAAAACTATTTTAACTCGCAATACTCTCCTACTGGAAAAGGAAATGAAAATTATTCAAGCAAAAGGAATTACGGAAGTTTGAGCTTTTTCTCCATTAAATTGCCAATTAGTTGAGGGGATTTGTCAGAAATGCTATGGCTTAGATTTAAGTAAACCGGGAGAGGCAATTGCCTTGGGAACTGCGGTGGGAGTAATTGCGGCTCAATCCTTAGGAGAACCAGGAACTCAGTTGACTATGCGAACTTTCCACAGTGGAGGAATTGCTGGGGATGAAGACATTACCCAAGGTCTACCAAAAGTCAAACAAATTTTTGATAACATTAAACCTGACAAGGAAGAAAAAACTATTTTGGCGAAGGACGATGGAAAGATAATTAGTATTGAAGAAAAAATAATTAAGCAAAAAAACGACCAGGGGAAAGAAATTATTTATCCGCTCGGTAAGAAAAAGAAGGCTCGAGTCAACCAAGGAGATCTAGTAAAAAAGGGCGAAAGACTTACGGGTGGAAAAGTAGACTTGGAAGAATTCCTTGAAGTTATGGGACGAAATAGTTGTCAGGAATATATTAAAGAGGAAGTCAGAAAAGTATATGAAAACCAAGGGATAGAGGTTAATGAAAAACATATTGAAATTTTTGCTCGCCAAATGCTCTCCAAGGTAGAAATAACCAATAGTGGAGATAGCAATTATTTAGTGGGCGATTTAGCAAATTATCACGAATTAGAAAAAAATAATCAAAAACTATTAGTCAACAAAAAACAGCCAGCTTCTTTTAAAAATATCATTTCTAGCCTGAAAGATTTAGCATCTCACCCAGATTCTTTCTTAGCTGGAATTTCTTTCCAAAACACCTTAAAGAGTTTAGTTAATTATTCTTTATATCAACCAGTTGATTACTTACGAGGATGCAAAGAAAACTTAATTGCTGGTCAATTAATACCAGTTGGAACCGGTTTTAAAGAACGAGAAAAATTTCAACGAAAAAGCACTCGGGAAACATAATATTTCAGTTTGCAAAAAAAATAACCAATCTGAGATAAGGCTTTATACCGAGAGGTTGGGCATCCTCACTACCTGCTCATTGTTAAAATTATGCACATTGTGATAATAATCTTGGTTTCTAAGTAGAATAATGCATTTTTTTTGCTCCACCTTATATCACCCTCCTTAACCAAAAACTTTATAAAATTAATATAGGGAGTAGAAAGTTGAGTGATAGTGAGTAGTAGTTGAAAGAGATATAAATGCTCTCTCTCTCTCTCTCTCTCTCTCTCTCTCTCTGCTAAAAAAATATAAGCAATAAAATAAATTATTTAATAAAGATATGAACAGAAATAATAATTTTAAAACCCTAGACAAAAAGAAAAAAGAATTAGCAAAATTGAAAGTTGAATGAGAAGCAATGAAAAAGCAGGAGGAAAATTTAAAACAAGAGTTTAAAGCAGCTTCTCCCAATAGTTCCGAAAGAGCAAGGATTAAAAATCAATTAACCCGACTCCAAAACGAAAAATTTGATAAAGGAGAATGCAGACGTAGGGTCGAAAGTAATATTGAAAAAGAAGAATTTTTTCACCGCTTACAAAACCCGACCGGTTCAGCCACCAACCCCGCCGATTTAGCCAGTTCAATTAAGGAGGAATTAAGAGCCGTTTTGAACGGAAGCAAAAAAATGGAAACTGGCGACAGAGTGGGAGAGATTTGCGAAGCCAACCAAAGTAAAGAATTTTGCTATTTTGGTTTGAAGGAAGAAATTGAAGAAATGATTGCCAATTTGCCCCGTAAACGCCAAGAACCGCTTGATATTGACAAAATAACTACTCGGATGGTGCGAGTTAAGCGAAAAGATTTAGCGGCGGCTGATTTTGATGAAATAATTAGTTTAATTCGCCAAGTCAAGAACTTTTTAGAGGAAAAAGATAAACAAGAACAGCAAAACACTGAAAATATAAAACTGAATAACCCGCATTTATTCACCCAATGAAAATGCTCGACTGATAAGAGGAATGGCATCAAGCGGTGAGAAAATTGACATACTTTCAGTGGTAAACATAATGGTTTTAATTACACTATTTATGTTCCGGATAACCATTTTGCATTAACTAATTGTCTTTTTAATGATGGTTGAGGCACTAATTCCGAAGTTAGCAAATTTTATGTGGTAGAAGGGGTGACTAAACCAACTAAACTTTCTTATTGAAATGTGGCTAAACAAAGGAAAGAAATTGTTTCCGAAAGCGAAGCCCAAGAGTTAATTAGGCAAGGAAAAGGCAACTACATTAATTATCAAACTTATGTGGAATTGGATGATAAAATTACGATTAGCCATTATGATGAAAAATCCAATGAGTTGCCATTAGTAAAACCAGTTAGCGGAGTTAATAAAGGAGCAGTGGAAAATAACGACCATAAAAATACTGGAGGAGGAGTTATCACTCATTCGGAAGAAAAAGAAAATTCATCATTAGATAATGATTTTTGGTTAAAGTATTTCCAAGAAAAAGATATCAAACAAATAACATTAACTCCCAAAGGCAATTTATTGATTGAATATAATAATGGTAAATCTAAAATGATAACTAATAGTCAGGTTCAACAATCAGAATTCCAAAAAGTTATCAGTTATTGCCAAAAAAATAATCAAACTAATTTAAGCCAGCAAGATTTAATTAATATGCGGTCTAATTCTAACTCGCCAACTACAAGTTCGAAAAATAATATTATTTTATTGGTAACTCTTGGTATTAGCGGAGTCTTGATAATTGGAATAATTGTTGGGTTGTGGTTGAGAAAGAATAAAGTTAGAAAACATTAATTTTCTCACTAGTTTAGTTTTCATTTTTTCCTTCCCCCCAATTAGGAAAAATAATAACTTCCATTAGACTAAAGAACAATAGCTCAAGTTGAAGTGATTGAGCTTTCTAAATAAAGAGAATTTTTATTTATAATAAACTAGAGTGTTCAGTAATGTTTACATTAATTTATTAATTAATTTTGATAAAGTATAAACCTACCATTACTCCTTCGAAATTATTTTTTTTATTAATTCTAGCAAAACAGCCACTGGGGAGGGAGCGATTTCCCTTACCTCTTCCCTTTTCAGCGGTTGAAATTCCCACAGTTTACTTTTTGCTTTATCTAAGAGAGGTGGATAATTGATTAAGGAAAAAACTGGTTATGAAATTGAGAAAAAAGAGTATTGTTTAATAAATGAAATAACAAGAAGAAAGTTAACCAGTAAAGCGTTATAACTTTATTATCCATTTAAAACCTTTTTTTTAGAAAAGTAGTGATAATTAAAATAACTTCTTTTGGTGGATAATCAGGTAATTTTTTTCTCATTTGTCCTAAAAGGTAATTCTGAACTTTTTGCTGATTAGTGGTAATCATTTTTTCTAAATCGTCATTTCACAGATTTTTTAATTCTTGTTCTACTAGATTTTCATTAACAGTAGTATTTTTTTCATATTTTTTTGCCAGCATAGCGAAATTTTTTTTAGTTTCTGTTAATTCTTTAACTATTACTTTTATCTCCTCATTATCTAACTTTTTTTCTTTTCAGGAACGAAATACTTCACAATAAGATTTTCACTTTTTACTAAACAAATTGATATTTCCATCCCCAAAATAAGGAGTTAAATAATTAAGATAAAAAGTTAGTCAATTTTTATATTCCTCTTTCCCTAAGGTTTTTTTTCTTTCTAAAAAATTAAGTATTTTTAATAAAGGGGGGGTTTTGAGAATTTTGTCCGCCGTTTCTAAGTCTGTTTCTTTTAATTCTTCTCAGTAACTCCAAGGTAATTTTGGCAAACTTTTTTTGATTTTATTGATTTCTCCAACTTTTAATTTAATAGGGGGGATATTAACTTCGGGCAAATAATAGTAATTAGTTTTTTC